CTCACCCAAATGCACAGCTCAAATACAAAACTTAATGAGACCACCTTCACTTCACTCCTCAGCGCTTGCTCTCGCTCCTCCTCTTTCGACCTTGGCAAGCAAATACACTCCCTCATTCTCAAATCGGGCTTCGAAGGCTTCTCATTGGTCGGAAGCTCATTGCTCAATTTGTACACTTCTTGCTTCGATATATCGAATGCATATCGTCTCTTTGAGCTGTTGCATTGTAGGAATCCGTTATTGTGGAGTTTGATGGTGGTGGGTTTTGTCAAGAGTAGGATGTTGGATGAAGCACTTGATTTGTTTGATAAAATGAATGTTAGTAGTCGTGATGTTTACTCATGGACTTCTTTGATCTCGGGTTGTGCTCAGAATGATGATGATGTGCAGCGTAGAAAGGCTCTAGAGTTGTTTGTTTCGATGACAAGTAATGGTGATGTGAAACCGAATGAATTCACTTATGATAGTGTGCTGAGAGCTTGTGTGAAATTAGAAGCTGTAGATTTTGGGAGAATGATTCATGGGTGTTTGATAAGGTTGGGGTTGGAGCATGATGATTCGATTAGTGGAGCTCTCGTTGAATTCTACTGTAAACTTGGGTATTTGGACGATACCAAGAGGGTTTTTGATCAACTGGATAAAAACCCTTGTTTAAATACTTGCAATTTGATGATAGGAAGTCTTGTTGACGTTGGAAATATTCGCGAAGCTGAGTTCATTTTCAATCAATTGGAGGAGAAAAACCCTGTTTCATACAATCTAATGATCAAAGGGTACGCCGATAATGGAAGGATTCAAGAATCCATCGCTTTGTTCGATAGAATGCCTTGCAAGAATATAGTCTCGTACAACACCATGATATCGGTTTACCATAAAGCTGGCATGTTTGATAAGGCTCTGAAACTATTCGAATTTGTCAAAGAGGAGAATAACACTGTGACATGGAATTCGATGATTTCAGGCTATGTACAAAACGAGCAACCTACCGAGGCCATAAAACTATATGCAGTCATGCAAAGATCCTCAATTGTATGTAGCAGATCGACATTCTCTGCTCTATTTCGAGCTTGTGCAAGCATGGGAACAGTCTCTCAAGGGAGAATGATTCATGCACAACTAATCAAAACACCATTTGCATCCAATGTCTTCGTGGGAACTTCTCTTGTAGATATGTATGCCAAATGTGGAAGCATTGATGATTCTAAGCTAGCATTTCGTGGTATTATCTCGCCCAATGTGGCATCATGGACCGCACTTATAAATGGGCTTGCTCATAACGGGCTTGGCATCGAAGCAATACTAGAGTTCGAAGCAATGCTAAAGCACCAAATCGATCCAAATACAGTTACATTCACTGGTATACTCTTAGCCTGTGCGAAAGAGGGCAAGGTAGATGAAGGAATTATGTACTTTAACTCGATGCAGAAAGACTACGGATTGAATCCTACAGTTGAACATTATGCTTGCATCGTCGATGTTCTTGGTCGATCAGGGCGAATTCAAGAAGCCGAGCAAATTGTGCTCAAAATGCCTATAGAGGCTGACAGTGTTGTGTGGGGGACTCTATTGAATGCATGTTGGTTTTGTATGGATTTGGAAGTGGGTGAGCGGGTAGCTGAGAGGATGCTGGGTATGGACTCAATGCATGTGTCTGTTTATGTGATTTTGTCTAATATCTATGCTAGGGTTGGGAGATGGGAAAAAGTGAGGGAAGTTAGAGAGAAATTGAGGGGATTGAGAGTGAAGAAGGATCCCGGGTGTAGTTGGATTGAGGCTAAGGACAGGGTTCATGTTTTCTGTGTTGAGGACAGGAGTCATCCTGAGAGTAGTGAGATTTTCTCAGTTCTAGGGGTGTTGAGAGATGATGTTTGTTCTAGTTGTGAGTTTGGATTTGATCCTTTTGTTTATGACATGCATGAGCATTTGGTGGATTCATTTTAGGCTAAATTTATAGTTTCCCTACTTTTGCACTTATATATTCTCTCTTGTTTTTGGCTGGCAGCACTTATGTACACTAAAGTTTCTAAAAATCGCACTTCAATACCTTTTGTTATGCAACTGTACGTGAGAATTGTCCCCCAAATTTTTTCCACGTGATACTCACAAGCGAATTTTAGACATCTTTTGTGCTTAATGTTTGTTAAATTTACTTTTAAACATGTATTCTAATTGGGATTTATTTGAAACCCAACTTAATTATAGTTTAAAATAGAATTATGGTGAGTTTAATAGCAAATCCAACCATCAATATGGAGATATTGTTGTAGCTAAGCACATTCAAAAGTCCAAGCCAATGGACTTTGGATCAAGATCCTACAACCAATTTATTGCATGCACAGTAAAATATATGTTCAGCAACTGTTGTGAGTTTTGGTTAACAATTAGGTGAAAGTGTGCACCTCATTATTTGTTAGTCTGTTCTCAGTTAGTCTCATCTGAGAACAAAATGATGCCAAATCGCCTTATACATCGCTTTGCCCCGCGAAAGACGGTTCCAGTACAACATGACCAAGATTTTGACGTGACATTTCGCTAGCAGCTGAAATTTTTGTGAACACACATTCACTGAATTAGATTATGTGTTTTGCTCGCTCAAAATTTTATCCTGACTGCATTTTGAAGAGGTTGTCTTTGATAGGAACCGGATCGGTAGTATTTGTGATATATTTCTCAGGTCCAAAAATATCCGTCGAGCTAGTTCTAAAGCTTGTTTATCCTTCTTCGATCCAATCTAATTTCTAATTGGTTGGCAAAGACAGCCTTGGCGCGGTGTTTGGCAACTTCTTAACATCGGGCCAGAAATAATTACAAGTTATTCTCGAAGGAAGTCGAGAGACACAAGTAACACAAAATTGTCAAATGACATTGTCACCATACCGAAACCTTGAAACTGCGATGATACTGTAATTTAATGTTCTAACATAGCCTCACAGGTTGAATGCCTTTCGTATATGTTAAAACCGGGACTTACTTAGCAGTATCATTTTCTAAAATTCACTTCAAAATTATAGACTGTGAGAATAAAACTCGGGTTACTATCCTATAATGTCAAAGGATTCTGTCAGCATATAAAAACTTTAAAAGTTATGGTGAATATTGAGGGTTATACAATTTTATACTATCACCAACATAGAAGAAGGGAGAAAAGAATTGAAGAAACAAACAATTATATCTTTTTTCTTGAAAAAGAATCGAGTTTAAGAAGACGATAATAAATTTTACATTATGATGAGCTACCAAGAGATAACGTAATAGAGAGGTTTATCCTGTTAGCCGAATCTAAGCATATGGAAATCTCAGCATTTTTGTTGCTTGACAGCTGATCATTTTGTTAATCCATCACATATTTCCTCTTCATTAACAGCCTCTCCCTTGACGTCTTTTCCCTTGAGCCACCCATGCCCTTTTCTATTACATGTGGCTTCAAATCTCTAATGACTAATCAAAAACGTAAGCGAAGGGGCAACTGCTGACCTCACCCCTCTACTTAGAATATTCTTAGTCCGTTTAACCTCCCTCTCTAATTAATTAATCTCCATTTGTTATTTAATAATCCATCTATTTATTTATCTTCTAAACTAAACAAACACATCCACCATAAAAATCTTAGGGAACGTGATAAGAGAAGAACTGGTCAGCAACCGCATCTCTAGCTCTTCATCTCTCATCTCTATACATCTTCTGACCAGAGACTAGTCCAACCTCTCATTTAATTTTTTTTGTTAGAAGAAGCTTAATCTTAATCCCCACGCTAGCCCCACAATCACAAACCCCTTTTATAAAACCACATGCCCCCCTTTGCGATCATTTGAACTCACTCTCCTACGACAAACTCTCTCTTCTCCTCTCCTCCCTTCTATATATCAGTCTCTTCAGAAGAATCAGACATATATAATAACTGTTGTAGTACGATCGATGGACTGATACTCTCTCCTTCTTGCTAGGCTTCTACTGACGGAAAAGGCGAAAATGGTGAAGAGCATGAATATGCTATTGAATGAGTTGGCTCGTGGATATAAGCTAGTTAGGGAGCTTGATGCCAAGCTCAACCTAGATTCAATTGAGTTATGCGCGTCGCTTGTACAGGATATACTTGATTGTTTTGAGAACGTCATGGCCATGGCCAAAGCAAATGCTCCTACAGGCTCCCCTCGGTTGTTTACCCTAAGTCCACAACATGGGGTTTCAGAGCAGCCATTTAAAGCTGAGCACAAGGAGATGGCATCGAAGAAGAGGTATGGTTATGTTTAGGATTTGGCTATATTTGTCGCGCTCTGTTGTTGACAACTGGCCCTCAAAACCCCCCAAATCTCTGTAGGCGCGTAGTTCTCTAGGAAATACGACACAATCTAAAATGGCTTGCTTGCCCCCGACCGATTCCGTAACCCTTCAGTGCCTGAGACTCCACAATCTCGTCTTTTTTTTTCTTTTTAAAGAACCCCAATACCCCAAATCCACTTTCTCCTCACGAACCCAAGCTGGCAAAACCCGCGAAGGATCAAGAATTCAAACCCTCAACCTCGCAATCCGATTCTATTTACCGCTGGCATCTTCCCTGCTCAAATGCAGACCCTGCAAAATCCCAAACCCTTGTAGTGTGTTAACCCTAGATTAATGCTTCTGTGATGGGAAAGATCAAGGGGTGTATTGTAGATTCTGCTCCTGTTGCTTCCCCTGATCCACAGGTAAAGGGTGAATACAATTGCTTGTTATGAATTGAATTGTTTACGTTAATAGATTATGTCTTGGGTAATGTTTGGTTTTGATGATTTATAGCATAGTAATAAATTGTGTATTGGTTCATTGAACTTGGAGGCAAGTTTGCTTGTTTTGTGAACATGAACCAAATTGTTGCTACAATAGTTTCACTTATGTGCTATCTTTTATCTCTTAAAGGCGAAAGAGGAAAAAAGGTGATTTTTGTAGTCTTTCTTCTCTTTGAATTAAGATTGCAAGTAATTTTTGGTATGAGTTAAAACTCATCCCTCCACATATTTCAGGTCTGGGCTTCAGGGTTCTCTGCTGCATTTTTGAAAAAGCAGAGTGTGGCAACGAAAGGAATGCTGAGCTCCAATAATTCGGGGATGAGCGCATTGGTTGAAAGTAAATCAAGCGGAGAGCCGAAACCGGCAGTTGCAGAAATTGCATTGTTGGCAGTTCTGGAGAAGTTCTTTGAGGTGGTTCTTAACCTTCCTTCCATCAATAGGTAATGATGTATTTATACTTAATTTCCCCATTGATGAATGTTGGTGACGATTACTGGATTTCCAATGAACATTTTAAGATAAATTCCAGAAAACCCGCTTTAAGGGTTTTGTGTAAAAAACCCTGAACTTTATAAGTCGTAGAAAACTCTATTGTGCTATCGGAAATTTTCATAAACCACATGTTAACATGCGGAGTAGAAAGTATGCTGTCATTTTTAGTTTTGCCTACCACTACCTAAAAAGGATAGTATTGAAGTTGTTATGTGCGGATCACATGATAACTTAAAAGTAACTCTTGCCAGTCATGATACCCGAGTGAGAAGTCTTTAGGGATTTATAAAGCTTGGGAGAGTCTTGTGAAATCTACCCAACTGGTAATATAGAGGGCGTTTAAGTGAGCTTATTCTTTGAAGCTTATAAGTTATGCTAAGTTTTACTGGCTTTTAGCTTTTATGATAAAAATGCTATAAAAATTGTTTGGACAGAATAATAATTTTTTTTTTGTCAAACCTAGCTTATTTAGATGAGCTTATAATCTAGTTCTTCAAAAGTTGTGACATACCAGCTTTTTAAAATGAGACTTATAAGTTAACTTATTTGATATTTTACCAAACAAGTAGATATTAAAAAGCTAGCACAAAAGCTACTAGTTTGACCAAAAAATAACCTCCCCCAAACACCCTCATAATCTGGCACTATTGTCATCTTGCATTTTCAGCATTTAAAATTCCTGAGAGCAGAAATTTGTTAACTGAATATCTTTCTTTATTATTAACAGGAGGCTTCATGATGTATTCACTCTATTATCGTCAGAGCAACCAAACTGTCCACAGCTATATATTTACAGCTCTGCTGATAGAGTTATACCAGCAAAATCGGTGGAATCTTTCATAGAAAAACAAAGGAGAGCCGGGCATGAGGTTAGGTCTTGTGACTTTTTAAATTCACCTCATGTCGATCATTTCAGAAACTATCCAGACATTTATACTTCTCAGATATCTGAATTCTTGGAGGATTATGTGCTAACCTGTCACAAAGACTCGTAGAATATTTTCCTTAGATGTATGTAATTAGTTTTTTCTTTTTCTTTTTCTCTCCAATTTTTTCCCCTGGTTGTAATTTTTCCAGGCATTACTATTGTTCAAACTGGTGAGATATTGTAAAGATTGCATACATAAAGAAAAATAGAGAATTATACAAAATTTTCATTCATCTTCTTTCTATATTTGGGGTGGTTGTTATGACTGGTTGGCCTTTTACGGCCTTGTATGAACTGTAGATTGCCTTAATTGAGTTAATGCAAGTGAAATAATTTCAGTTCATGGTTAAGCAAATGACAGGTTGTGTTTCCAGAGAATTAATTGTGTGTGTATGGTAATTTGATCCGGACAGGCACAAAAGGGGAGACTTTTGATGCTAATTGAAAGATTGTTGAATATTTGGAAGAAAACAGAGGAACAATTTCAAATATCCAAATTAATCAGTCGTGTGCTTTTATAAGGCGAAGCTTCTCTAAAGGAAGTAATTGTGCTTGAAAAAAAATGATTACAGAGGATTATTTGAAGCAAATTAAACAATATCCAGTGACTGAATTAACAACTAAAGAAAAGAAAATAACTCAATGACTAAGTTCCTTAAATTAAACAATACTGAACAAGTGAATTCACAACTAAGAAATGAATATATATCATTGACTAAGCGCCTGAGCGAACATGGTGTAAATGGAAACATTTATAAGGAATGAGTCTGCTAGGCAAGTAAAAATAACTATAAGTTGGGTTGTAGGTTTGAAAGTGTTTAAGCGCTGGAAACCTCACTGAAAAAGTTTGTTACAGGATCCAGTAAAATCATAAGTTAGGAAAATGAGAAGGGAAGGATTCTAGTAGAATAGGAAAAAGAGAATTAGAAGAATATTGTCCTTACAGAAATGTGGCTATGACACAACTCAGGAGATATTCACTAAGCTAACTGAATAGTTTAATAAAATTCAAATGTTACGTTGTGCAAAAAGTAAAATATCTACATCCCTATATCACATTTATGATAAAATGTCAAACTAATCTCACTAATTGCCCACCTTATTTTATGTTTAATTGAACGCCAGACAATACCCCCATGGCTCATGTCTAGTCCAGCCCAATGCTCAATCTTAGCTTGTCTGATTTGAGTTCAAGCAATCTTTATTCCCTTCCTCTTTGCTTTTTTATCCTGGGTTGGTGAGGTCAACTAATTTCAAGCTATAATTTTCTTTTGCTGGTTAATAAAGATGTAATCTATGTTAGAATATAAAAATATAACCTTTAACTTTCATCACAACTTCGGAGTTTATAGTTAGCGACTTGACATGGCTTTAGCGCAACCCGGGTTCAAATCCCACCGGACCGGCCATGAAGTTAAAACGGATTTTAAATAAAAACTGATTCCACTGCGTGAGTCCAGGTTTCGGCTCATAAAAAAGGCGCTCAACCTGCATTGGCATGGTAGAATATAAAACTATAACCCTTAACCCTCATCACAATTTCAGAGTTTTTGTGTAATAATTAGGATTTTTGACATGGTATCAGGATAACTCGGGTTTAAATTCCTCAGGACACGAACTTAAAACTGATTTAAAAAAGGATTGATACCGCTGTGTGAGTCTAGGTTTTGACCTATAAAAAATGCGCCCAACTAGCGGGCATATTAGAATATAAATTTAAACCCTTAACCCTCACCATAACTTCAGAACTTTAGTGTAATGGTTAAGGACATTGACATGGTATCACGAAAATCTAGGTTCAAATCCCGGTAGCCATGAATTTAAAGCGGATAAACAAAGAGACTGATAGTGCTGCATGACTTCAGATTTCGGCCCATAAAAAACGCGCTCAAAATGCGGGGGCATGTTAGAATATAACAATATAAATCTTAACTTTCACATCTTTGGAGTTTTGGTGTAATGGTTAGGGACTTTGACGATCTTATTTGGATGTTGCATGAAAACTATTTTGCCGATCTTTAATTATGACGTACTAAACATATCATTATTCATGAAATTGAATTGAATGTCTAACTAACCATCTGCTCTGATATCAATCATCAGAAATTCGAGCAAGGCTCTATACAAGAGATGTGACTGATGTAAATCTGATTTTATATGAAAAAAGCTCTAATGGGGTACGGGAGTATAATCTACTTAGTAATATATTCAATCACTACATAATCTAATTGGGTTACTTCACACATACAATAAGATACAAGTCACATATTTCAATATATATATAGTCTGTAAGTTAAAATAGTTTGCATAGTTAGTCAAATTGCAGGTATGATACCAATTGCATATTCGATATTCACTCGTATATTCGAATGTTTGAGAACTATGCGGCCATACAATCACTTTACGTTACTATTCTTAGTCTTTGTCACACAAAGTTTTTTCGATAACTGGTTCGGTAAGTTATCACAAGCATGCTTTAAAGAGGTTATCACTAGCTCACAAGTGATAAGGATAGTGTGTGGTGACCCCAAACAAAGAAAAGATAAAGGTTAGGAATTCTTTTTGCCCATTGGTCTTTATGAAAGGTTTCTGTAGTAAATTATTTCCCCTGAAGTGAGGATAGTGCGTCTATAAAAAATGAGGTAATTTGCAGGCACCGTTGCTGTCAATTGAGAACTGATCAGTTGCCTTATCTTGATCATAAAAGAAACCAAAAAAACTTTTAAAAAATCAGAACATACTTTAATTTTTTGCTTTGTGCTAGAAGTAATTCTTTACCATTTCTTAAATCCGTTTTGATTACTTTTTGTTCAAGAACATTCACATCAGGGATGCAAAAACATACGGATCGATATTTGTGTGTATATGCGCATTTGTTTCTGATAGGATGTGAATATTATATATCTATACTGGGAGGTTATGGGTATTGATATGGGTATTGTTCTAGTTTTTGATGGGATATGGATAACGATACTATCCTAATGTCCGAAAATATGTATCAACCAGTGATGATATTACTTCAATCCTAAATAAGTGGATTTGGGATCAGTTTTGGTGATCATGAGATGTGACCTTAGCTTTCTAGATATGTCGAATGTTGATCAACTCTAACTTGAGAAATTTTGGTTTATTTAAAACAACTTTTGTATCATATGGCCAATATACTTCTCAACCTTATCTATTTTCCACATATCTGCCTTGTATATGTTTTATCCTATCGGTTTTCCATTTTAACAAATATGGATCGTGCGTTTTATTTCTTAGTAAATCATTTTTGTATTTGTATCTGATACAGATGGTAAGCACCATTTCTGATGCACATCCAATCTGTTTGCAACCAAGATTTTCATATATAAGTATAAGCAACCTCAGAAATCCTAGTGAAGTATTTAAAGAAACACAGTGAAATAATGAAGCAGCAATTATAATGTTTAGAGTGAACTTTAGCTCCTTAAGAACAAAGGAACTTCCATACAGCTAGACGAGAAAAAGAAAAAGATCCGAGTGCTTACAACTCAACTCTTTAAGAAAGCTAATCAGTTTATTATGTTTTCTCAGGTGAAACTTGTAAGATAGGAAAATTTTCTTTCTTCCTTTTTAATATTTCTTTTGATATTTCTAGCATTATCGGGAACATGCCGCGTTTCTTTGTTGCTTATACACTTCAAATTTAGGCTTGCAACACCTAAGATACTTATTGCACCTGCATTGACATGCCAAATTATTGAATAACAATGTTTTGGGTTTTATAAATACCTTGGTTAAAATGTCAGAGTACGATAAAGGCTTCTGTGAACTAATAGGATTAGTTAATCATTCATGAAACACAATGCCGATATCATTTTATCTTAATTTCTTTGAACCAATGAAAATCAAATGATGTGACCATGTACATTTAAATCCTTTGAACATTGCTTTCTCTTTGAGAAATTTTTTACTCTTAACAGAGTAGAAGAGGAGCCTTTTCTATAGGGTGAAGCTACCATTAAAAGGGGTCTTTTATCAAAGGAATATATTGGTTCACAGAAGTAGGACTTTAAGCATTAAAGATAACTTTGGCTCATTAGTAAAGTAGGCAAATCAATGGAATCTAAGCTCCTTAAGGACAAAGGAACTTCCATGCAACTCAACTTTTCCAGAAAGCTTAAGAGGCAGTAGACTTGAATCCTCCTCAGTAAATGGTCTTTTCATTGACATGAAGATTACAGGCATATAAGTGATAAACAAAAGCAAGAAGCTTTATATAGTTGGTTCCTACAAAAAGCATCTCTAATTGTTCTATTTACCCTCAGAGGTAGTTGGTTGCTTTTACGTAGGCATGTTGAAAGGTTCTAAGTTTCAAAACAAATAATATCGAACTAAAAGGACTATTTACTTATTTAGGAACATGTCAACATTTCAGTCTATGGGAAGAGAGAGAGGATTATAATCCTCTACTTTGAGCAAAAACACCAATTGACTTAGTTGTAGATAAAAAATGAAGTATTTTTTTCTTTCTTCTAAGTCTATGAAAAATGCATCCAAGTCATTAACACAGGAAGCAGCTAATAGAAGTGTGCACTATATATTGTAAATCTTAGAAGAGTCTTTTTCAGGTTTTTCTGTCTATTTAATCATGGCTATTTATAATTAGGAAACGAAACAAGCACAAGGTACTTTCTGCCGCAAAAACTTGCAGAAATCACCAGATTCACCACATTAATTTCAATTGATGGTTTAATGAGCTTCAATTGATGGTGTAATGAACAAATGACAATGATATGGTAACTTCTTAATCGATCAAATGTTCAGAGTTTTAGAGCTCAACCATGCAGATAATAAAAATTGTCTTAATTCCTAGCAAAGAAACTCGAAACTGACAAAAACGTTGATATCTCTCAAACCGGAGGGAATTTGACGAAACGGACAGTGGCAAACCAAACTTTGATTGGTTTGGTCGGTCTCGTTTCAAAAAAATACGCGATTTTCATATATAATTCGTCCAATTCCGATTTACGGTTTGAAAGATATGACTTGTTCTTCACAGCGAGTTATATTCCTCAACGCTTGCGAAGACTTAAGTTCGCCTGAAGGCCGAGCTTCGCCCACGAGGTTTGCCCGCATATTCCAACCCCGCCTGCATAAGCCAAGCTCGCCTGAACGCTTGAAGCTCGCCTGAATTGAAGCTCGTCAGATAGCTTCACCTATGAGGTTCGCCTATAAGAAATCCAATCCGCCTGCAAGCTCACCACGAATCTAAGCTCA